TTTCCTGAATCCATGAGTTGTGATACTGGATTCCCTGCAGTTGTTGATGAATTTGATGACCATACAATCCTGTTTGTGCTATTGAGAAGGACTAGAACTCCTTGCTCAGTGACCTTCAAAACTCCTGAAGAATCGCCAAGTGGTGTTTCTCTGTTGGCTACCCATACAACTGTCTCAGTATCAACAGAGTACCATATTCCTAAGTATCGACCTTTTGATGTACCAGGGCTAAAGAATCCCAGTTGAAAGCTTCCACCTGCTGAAACTAGAGTTTCACCATCTCTCATAGATCGACTTGGAGTGATTGTGTCTAGTGTGGTTGTACTTGAGATACTTAGGAAAGAGAACAAGAAGGAGCACACAAAAAGGCTTTTCATGGCTTGCATTGATATTCTGAGACTACATACTTTTATATCGAAAGAAATTAGCACATAAGTCTGAAATCTTAGGGTTCATATTATTATCAAGCAGGATATTGCTAGCTTTCAAATCTCTATGGATAATTCTCAATCTAGAGTCTTGGTGAAGATAAAGAAGCCCTCTAGCAATTCCACCAATAATGTGGAAGCACATAGCCCAGTCGAGCAACTTTTGTCCCTCTTGATCTGAAGAAATTTTGAGCCTGTTAAGTCAATGCACCATTGAATCCTTGTAGAATAAGATTAAAGATAGTATGACTTAAAAGCCATATGGTTGGCATCAGAGAGGACCATACCAAAAATAAAGAAGTCCAAGCTTCTGTTGATCATGAATTCATATATCAAAAAATTTTCATCTTCTTGAATGCAACAACCCAAAAGCTTTACAAGATTGCGATGCTGAAGTCCGGCTATCAGCTTAACTTCATTTTTGAACTCCCTCAGTCCTTGTCCGGAATCCTCTGAAAGCCTTTTCACTGCAATTTCTTTCCCTCCTATCAATGTGCCCTATGGATCATCATTTAGAAAAGTCTTAAAAACTTGTATCACAGAATAGCTCACTTTAGTTGCATAAATTTATGTTACCTTGTACACAGGACCAAAACCACCTTCTCCCAGCTTGTTACTGCTTGAAAACTCATTAGTGGCTTTAGCTACGGTGGTCAAGTTTAATAGTGGTAATCCTATGTCTTCTCCAAGGCAATCTTTTCTGCAATCCATGCTTCTGACTCCTGAAATTGGGTGGGTGATTTCTTCAGCATGGATAAATGTAAGAATTCTCTTGGTTAATCAATTGATTAAATCACAATATGCCATGTGTGCCAATGTAATTGGTAATTTGCTTAACCCTAAACCAAATCTTGGAACACAAGAAAATCACACACTACCTAAATTAGATACTAACAACTTTATCTAATGCATATATCAATCCAATCATGCATTTGAAAGAATCAAGGTCCACATTTGAGATATTTACCTTGACTTCTGAGTTTCTTCTTCCTTCTATACAATATCAAGCCAATTATTAAAGTTCCCAAAAGAAAAAGTGTAGAGCTGATGAGAAGAATTCCAGGTAGCTTTGTCTTGTTGAACTTGCTCTTTTTCTCAATTTGATCTGAAATATCAGCATGATAAATAACAAGAAACGGACGTTGATGCACATCAGGCATCAGGTACATCAGGCACTTGGGCAAACAACGTTACTGCACTACAAAATCTGCAACAAAAGAAAACAAGAAAAGTGCTGCGTTAATCAATTGTTAAGCATTAGAGTTGACATCACTTGTCATGAAAACTTTTCCCAGTACTTCAGGAGTGCAAATGAAACTTCCTCTTCATGCTTACAAAAATTAAAGCTAAATTGGAAAAACTATTGTACAAATGAAAACATTGGAAAGGGGATTAAAGCATGAACTACTTCACAATCTATTACAGCAGCAAACAAAACCATGTAAATTGAATACACAGACTTCACTACAGTAGTAGCAATAAGTCCACCGTCTAAAGTCATACCAAGTTGATATTATATAAGTGAAAAACTAAGAGCATGTAAAAGACCAGTCTAATCGTGTTTACATGAGAGCTGAGTTGACATTATCATAATTACACTGTTTTAACTTTTTGATATCCAAATTGAGTCTCCATGAGAGCTGTGTATGTTTCTATTCAAAAAAAAAAATGAGAGCTGTGTTGACTTTAGTCACAAGTTGTGTTCTAGCAACAGAAGCGAGAAAGACAATCAGCTAAAAGAAAGAACCCACAACAAGTCGACACAATAAAGATCCCGCAGCAATTTAGTCTCCAATCATGCTTTTAATGAACATAAAAACCTGGCAAACAAAGAATTGAAATGTTCTGCTCTCAGCACTATAATCACATTACCAGTTCTTTCACTTAGTAAGACTCTGCATCGCTCTTGTCGAGTAAGAGGAGGCTCTCTTTATAAAAATGACCAGTACAATATTTATATCCAGAAATCCCAAGAAGTTTAAACTGTTTGCTCACAAGGTCTAGTGATACTAGTTCCTGCCTCTCTTTTTCTTTGAGCAGTAACAGTACTTCCCCACTCTTCCTAAAACATAAGGCGCTGAGGAAAATTGTTTCTGGACCTTGTGGATTGAGAGTAATCAATTTGGTCCATGATTCCTCTCTTCCATACTCTTTCATCACCCACATATCAAGAACAGATTCTTAACCATAAAGAGATTGTTGGGCATCATGAACAAAGCAATAGATTTTCTGTTATCTGAAACAGACAATTGCAATCCCAACTTGAAATTCCATTGAATAATCTTCGGCATAGGTATCTGACTGAACACCTCCTTGCCCAGGTCAAATGTCAATATAAAATAGTAAGAATCAACATCTGTCTGACAGACTACAGGCCAATGAAGAACCCCATTAACAAAAGCACTGGATGCAGCTTTATCTATTAGACATGCAGGAGAAACAATGTAAACCATACAACAAGTATACTTACTATGTTCCAACTACTCTATTTGTATTACCCCGACTTTGATCAATTCCAAATGTTTTAGCGAGGCCGAAGTCTGAAATCTTAGGGTTCATACTATTATCAAGCAGGATATTGCTAGCTTTCAAATCTCTATGGATAATCCTTAATCTAGAGTCTTGATGAAGATAAAGAAGCCCTCTAGCAATTCCACCAATGATGTGAAAGCACGTAGACCAGTCGAGCAATTTTTGTCCTTCTTGATCTGAAGAAAACTTGAGACTGTTAACTCAATGCAACATTGAATCCTTGTACTATAAGATTAAAGGCGAAGCATACCAAAAATAAAGAAGTCCAAGCTTTTGTTGGGCATGAATTCATATATCAAGATTTTTTCCTCTTCTTGAACGCAACAAAGCCCATCACAAGTGCCAAGCACACGAATATGTGAATTGCCATAGTTTTTCTTTGCAGCAATTGGAAATTCGATCTTGGAGTACTCATCAAACGCCTGGTTATCATGATGCACAGAGTGAACCTCGTCTTCTACCTTGTGAATGAACGTGTTTTGGTAGTTGTTGCGGCTGCTGCTACCAGAAATTCTGTGGAGTAGGAGGAGGTCAACATCATTCTGGTTAGCAAAGTCCACTGTTGTGCTGAGGTGGGCGCGGATAAAGCTTTGGTTTATGATCATGGACCTCCATGTCTTGCAAACTGAAGTGCATTTGATCAGAAATTTAACAGGTAGCCTAATTAGGATATGTTGTATGATTTCCTCAGGAAAAGAGCGTGCGATCACTTCAAATTTCATTTCCTGTATCCCTTGTGTGATATCTTGTATGTTATCCATGTCTTCCAAATTCAAATACTTATACCAACTGACAAAAGCAATGAAGACAAAACTCAGCTATAATTGAGCAAAAAAATAACAAGGGAGCAACAAGAACCCTAATCTCCACTCTATAAATCAAAATTACAAACAAAAATTGCCAGATGAAGGAAAGAGAAAGTTTAGGAACTTACAAATTTTGGTTCTGATGAGCAGAGCCCAAGTAATGGGGCTGATGCAGCAGCCTCTCGTTCGTTGTGCTGCGTTAGAGAAGAAGAGTGAAGAAGAAACGAGAAAACGACCCTTTCTAGCTTCTAGGAATTTCCTTTCCGTACCCAAATGGCTCGTAGGGAAGATAAAATAAAACGACCCTTTCAAGCTGCAAGAAGCTTTCCCTTTCTTTTTGTGGGTCAAGCAGCAAGCTGCAAAAGATTTCCCGGAAACAATTTTGTGCGGAAATTCCATTTTATCCCCATAACGTTGCTAATTTCTACTTTGACCCCTTCTTTTTTCCGGTATTACTTGCCACCTTTTTCTTGGATCGCTTGGTTTCTGTAATGCAAATATATCTTCACAGGCCCAATCGGTTCTTTTCCACCGCAGGCCCATTCGTTAGTTTATTCCAATTTCTCATTAATACCACCAAAATAAATTGTATTTTTATTTTATTTAACAAAATGATATTTTAAGCTATTCTAATATACAGGGAGGAGAGGGGGATTGAACTTAATTTATTTCTTGATAACTTAATCTTTCTTCAATATTTCAAATTACTTGGTTAACTTTAACATACACCTGTCTTCTCCAAGGTAATCTTTTGTGCAATCTATGCTTCTAACTCCTGAAATAACAGGGAGATCCCCTCAGCATGGATAAATAGATGTGTAAGAATTATATTGGTTAATCAATTGGTCAATTCACAATATGCCATGTGTCCCAATTTAATTGGTTAAACGCGAAACCCTAAGCCAAATCTTGGAACACAAGAAAATCACACACTATCGAAACAATCTAATGCAAATTTCATAGTAAAGATACTTGGTTTTATTTTTTGTGCCAGAATTTTACAATCATGTATTTGAAAGAATGCAGGTCCGCGTTTGAGATATTTACCTTGGCTTCTGAGTTTCTTGTTCCGTATATACAATATCAATCCAATTAGTAACGTTGCCACAAGAAAAACTGCAGAGCTGATGAGAATTCCAGGTAACTTTTTCTTGTTGAACTTGCTCTTTTCCACAATATGATCTGAAAGATCACAATTAAAATAAAACTTTCATGCAATTCAGTAAGCAATCTTGCATTTCGCAGTAATTGTGAATCTAACACCAACTTATTTTAGCCATACTTTGCATAACTGCAGACGAAGCAGCAAGGCCAACCGAGGTAAAGCTCAATACTTTTAACCATGCTGCTTCTAACTGCTGCCCCCATCAAAACCCCATCCAAAAGAAAAACATAAAAAGTTGACAAAAACTCATTTTCCCTTAACCTATAAATATATTGTGACAATGTTATCCAGTTTGGCTAGAAAAACAAAAACAAGATCAAATAAAAGTCTAAGAGCTACCAGGTTCTGAAGCTGCCATCCGTACATAGAGGTCTTGACCACCACCGGAAGTGAATTGTCTTATGTCAGTGAGGTTGCCAAACCAAAGCAAACAGCCAGTTCCTCCCTCCCTGATATCTAAATTTGCATATGCCGTACATGAGCAGTTTGCCAAGCATAATCCCTTACATTCCTTGAGGCTCATGCTCTTATCAAACCATGAGGAAGATGTGTCTGGCAATTTAACACCAGTGTACTTTAGGAAGCCATCTCCAGAGCTGCAAGCCAATGGAATCTTTCGAACACAACCATCAGACCAATATCCCGAATTCCATTCTTTTGGAGATTTTGGTACAAATCCATTCAAGCATGCACATAAGGGAGAGACATTCAGATTGCAACTAGCATATGCACCACACAAAGCATAATTTTCACACCGGTCTGCTTGAAATGTAGAGGAAAGTTCCCAACTATGTGTTTGGTACACCCATCTGAATCGCTGCGCAATGCCTGATGGATTCAACATATATCTCAAGAACATGGACGTGTTTAGAAGCCTGTACTCATAATAGACCTCATCCTTGTTAAACACAAATTCATACCCAAATATTGGGTGAGGATATGGATATCCTGTCACATAAAGGCCGTTCCATGACCCTACTCTAGCCATTATCTTAGCTCCTTTCATAGTAACAACTTGTGGCAAACCACAGCGATCCATCCTTACTGAAAACTCTCCAGGAGCAGGATCCTGCTGTAGCTATTATCTTAGCTCCTTTCATAACAACAAATTGTGGGAAACCACGACGATCCATCCGAAATGAAAACTGTCCTGAAGAAGGATCTTCTGTGCTCCTCCAAGATGAGATGTACCTATCTAAACCAGTAACTAAGTCCCAACCAAGCTTCATTTCTGGTAGGAATGTGTCACAAGGATAATCAAAACTCTGCCACAAGAATTTATCAGGGTTAGTTTCATTTCCATCTTTCAAAACAAGATTTCCTGAATCCATGAGTTGTGATACTGGATTCCCTGCAGTTGTTGATGAATTTGATGACCATACAATCCTGTTTGAGGTATTGAGAAGGACTAGAACTCCTTGCTCAGTGACCTTCAAAACTCCTGAAGAATCGCCAAGTGGTGTTTCTCTGTTGGCTACCCATACAACTGTCTCAATATCAACAGAGTACCATATTCCTAAGTATCGACCTTTTGATGTACCAGGGCTAAAGAATCCCAGTTGAAAGCTTCCACCTGCTGAAACTAGAGTTTCACCATCTCTCATAGATCGACTTGGAGTGATTGTGTCTAGTGTGGTTGTAGTTGAGATACTTAGGAAAGAGAACAAGAAGGAGCACACAAAAAGGCTTTTCATGGCTTGCATTGATATTCTGAGACTAAATACTTTTATATCGAAAAAAATTAGCACATAAATTAGGCAGAGAAGATGGAAGAGCTAAAAACTAAAAGTAAAAGACATGTTTCTATACTGATAATATGTATGTTTATGCCAACTTCTCTGGGTTTGAAAAGTTGGCCTCTGTGAAAGGAAGTCATTGACTATGGACCATTAGGAGCGTTAGGAATTTAGGACAAAAACCAGATATGTTTCAGAAGTTTCAATGATGTTTCAGAAGTTTCAAATATAAGACACGTAAATGAAAGTCTTACCAAATTAAAGAGCATGTGGTTGATTCCCCAAAACTATAGGATAAATTTTCGATAAATAAAAAATAATATTAAATATTTAAATATTTTATAATAAAAAAACTACAGTATAAATTTGTTCAAAAACCACGTGGAATGACTTTTTTCTTTTTTTTTGGGTCGTAAAAACCACGTGGAATGATTTGGAATCAAAAGTACTGAAAAAACAAAGATGTAGTGGGTGGTGTCGTGTCATGCCAATAATTAGGAAAACTAAACACAAGTCATCGTTCGTGCGCAAACTAACCAACCATACTTTAAAATCGCATGCTTTCAAAGCTAACCATCAACGTCTTTCACCTCACCTGAGCCTTAGGTTCATGGTAACCCCGCCTATTTACGACGTGCCTGTCACTTGTTCGACTAAATTCCCAAACCAAACCGGCGTGCATAGACCGTGTTAACATTAGCCCACACGCGACATGAATGCATAAAGCTTCTACTTCTATCGGTTGCTAAGGCGTGTGTCAGCCTCTTTGGTGTTCCTCTTGCCTCTCCTTCCTCCTATATTTTCATCTTTTATTGTTATCATTTGTTCACTGTAACAATAGAAAAGTGACTGGCAACTGACCAGCCAATTGGGAAAAACCCAAAAGTGATAACTTATGGAAAACCCCATAACACAACAATGCATACGAGGAACGACCATTTGGGCTGCCATTTGAATTCAACAAACATGAAATTACAAATCTCTCACATTTTTAACAATTCACACTTTTTCTTCAACCCAACAACCCCAAATCCTTTCTTTGTTGTGCAGTAGAAACTGTTCCAAGCAAAATTATAATTCAATCTTTCTTGCATAATATTAATAATCTCATGTCATTGTTTTCCAGCTAAGGTTGTAGACAACCTGCCCTATACAATTTTGTGATGGTAGACAGAAGCATGAACAAGCACCAGAATGATGATCTACCGAGCCTCTATTATTGTAATGGAAGTATTCGCTGAACACCGGCGTGTACTTAAGGGTGATTCAGGGACACTTCGCTCAGTGTAAAAACCAGGCTGCTTTGGTGGAGGCAAGGAAACATCACTGCTCAACATTAGAACCACAGATGACATGCTTGGTCTATCTTCAGGTACTCTTTGCACACATAACAGCGCCACATGAAGACACCTTAACACTTCAGATATGGTGCACGAATCACCTAATGTCTTATCAATCAGTTCCAATGGTTTATCTTCAATCCATAGTATCCATGCCTTAAAGAATTGAAACATATACAATATGTTAACTGGGTGGCATGTAATTGGAGCATTGCTACATCAACCCTCTATACTGTTATATGGCATGTCATTGAAAGAATATAGTACTTATTAATGCTTTATACTCACATGTCCAAGAAGGTTAAGGTGGTGATCTGGGTGAGAAAATCCCCTGTTCTTTTGCCTACTCAACATCTCTAGCAGTATTACTCCAAAGCTAAAGACATCAGATTTCATCGAGAAAATTCCATCTACTGCATATTCGGGAGACATGTAACCACTGCACAATCAAAATACAGTGAGTAAGAATTTCAACAAAAACAACACAATGTAAAATGTAAACCATAGAAAATATACTTACTACGTTCCAACCACTCTTTTTGTATTACCCCGACTTTGATCACTACCAAATGTTTTAGCGAGGCCAAAGTCTGAAATCTTAGGGTTCATATTATTATCAAGCAGGATATTGCTAGCTTTCAAATCTCTATGGATAATTCTCAATCTGGAGTCTTGGTGAAGATAAAGAAGCCCTCTAGCAATTCCACCAATAATGTGGAAGCATGTAGCCCAGTCGAGCAACTTTTGTCCCTCATTATCTGAAAAAAATTTGAGCCTGTTAAGTCAATGCACCATTGAATCCTTGTAGAATAAGATTAAAGATGGTATGACTTAAAAGCCATATTGTTGGCTTCAGGGAGGACCATACCAAAAATAAAGAAGTCCAAGCTTCTGTTGGTCATGAATTCATATATCAAAATTTTTTCATCTTCTTGAATGCAACAACCCAAAAGCTTTACAAGATTGCGATGTTGAAGTCCGGCTATCAGCTTAACTTCATTTTTGAACTCCCTCAGTCCTTGTCCAGAATCCTTTGAAAGCCTTTTCACTGCAATTTCTTTTCCTCCTATCAATGTACCCTATGGATCATCATTTAGAAAAGTCTTAAAACTTGTATCACAGAATAGCTCACTTTAGTTGCATAAATTTATGTTACCTTGTACACGGGTCCAAAACCACCTTCTCCCAGCTTGTTACTGCTTGAAAACTCATTAGTGGCTTTGGCTACGGTGGTCAAGTTTAATAGTGGTAATCCCATGTCTTTTCCAAGGCAATCTTTTCTGCAATCCATGCTTCTGACTCCTGAAATTAGGTGGGAGATTTCTTCAGCATGGATAAATGTAAGAATTCTCTCGGTTAATCAATTGATCAAATCACAATATGCCATGTATGCCAATGTAATTGGGAATTTGCTTAACCCTAAACCAAATCTTGGAACACAAGAAAATCACACACTACCTAAATTAGATACTAACAACTTTATCTAATGCATATATCAATCCAATCATGCATTTGAAAGAATCAAGGTCCACATTTGAGATATTTACCTTGACTTCTGAGTTTCTTCTTCCTTCTATACAATATCAAGCCAATTATTAAAGTTCCCAAAAGAAAAAGTGTAGAGCTGATGAGAAGAATTCCAAGTAGCTTTTTCTTGTTGAACTTGCTCCTTTTCTCAATTTGATCTGAAATATCAGAATTGAAACAAAATTTTAATGCAATTCGGTAACCAATTTCTCATGTTGCAGATGAAGCAGCAAGGCCAACTGAGGAAATAACTACCATTGTGGTTTTCATGTCGTTCGGCCTTTGATTATGGACCTAGATCAATAATTTTAAACATGTTGCTTCTAACTGATGCCCCCATCAAACACACTCCCAAAAGCAAAACATAACAAGTAGACAAAACCTCATTCCCTTAACGTCTAAATATATTGTGATAATGTTATCCACTATTGGATAGAAAAATAAAAATAAGATGAAATAAAAGTTTAAGAGCTACCAAGTTCTGAAGCTGCCATCCGTATATAGAGGTCTTGACCACCACCGGGAGTGAATTCCCTTATGTCAATGAGATTGCCAAACCAAAGCAAGCAGCCAGTTCCTCCCTCCCTGATATCTAAATTTGCATATGCCGTACATGAGCAGTTGTTCAAACATAATCCCTTGCATTCCTTGAGGCTCGTGCTTTTATCAAACCATGAGGAAGATGTGTCTGGCAATTTAACCCCAGTGTACTTTAGGAAGCCATCTCCAGAGCTGCAAGCCAATGGAATCTTTCGAACACAACCATCAGACCAATATCCCGAATTCCATTCTTTTGGAGATTTTGGTACAAATCCATTCAAGCATGCACATAAGGGAGAGACATTCAGATTGCAACTAGCATATGCACCACACAAAGCATAATTTTCACACCGGTCTGCTTGAAATGTAGAGGAAAGTTCCCAACTATGTGTTTGGTGCACCCATGTTAATCGCTGCGCAATGCCTGATGGATTCAATATATATCTTGAGAACGTGGACCTCTTTGAGAGCCTGAACTCATAATAGATCTCATCCTTGTTCAACACAAATTCATACTCCAATGTTGGGTTTGGTCGTGTTTGTGGAGGATATGGATATGCTGTAAAATGAAGGCCGTTCCATGAGCCTGCTGAAGCCACTATCTTAGCTCCTTTCACAACAACAGCTTGCGGGAAACCACGATGATCTATCCGTAACGAAAACTCTCCTAGAGCAGGATCGTCTTTGCTCCTCCAAGACGAGACGTACCTCTCTAAACCAGTAACTAAGTCCCAACCAAGCTTCATTTCTGGTAGGAATGTGTCACAAAGATAATCAAAACTCTGCCACAAAAAGTTAACAGGGTTGGTTTCATTTCCATCTTTCACAACAAGATTTCCTGAATCCAGGAGTTGTGATACTGGATTCCCTGCAGTTCTTGATGTATTGGATGACCATACAATGCTGTTTGAGCTATTGAGAAGGACTAGAACTCCTTGCTCAGTGACCTTCAAAACTCCTGAAGTATCGCCAAGTGGTGTCTCTCTGTTGGCTACCCATACAACTGCCTCAGTATCAACAGTGTACCATATTCCCAAGTATCGACCATTTGATTTACCAGGGCTAAAGAATCCCAGTTCAAAGCTTCCACCTGCTGAAACTAGACTTTCACCGTCTCTAATATATCGATTTGGAGTAATTGTGTCTGGTGTTGTTGGAGTGGAGATTCTTAAGAAGGGAAATAAGAAAGAGCACACAAAAATGCTTCTCAAGGCTTGCATTGTATACTCGTATCGGAAAAAAATTAGCACAGGACTTCTCCAGAGAAGATGGAAGAACCAAAATCTAGAAGTAAAACATGTTCTGATACTGATAAAAACCATATGCGTATAGTTGTGAGACTTTTCTTAATTGACCCGAATCCTTGGTTTGGAAAGTTGGTCACTGTGCAAGAAACTCATGGTCCACATACCATATCCAAGGCCTTTTCACATGTCGAATGAAAGACCTGGAAACTCACACATGACAAATACATGTCTCCCAACTTATGTTTCAGAAGTCGCATTTTTCGGTTAACATATTGTATTTGACCTTTCCAACCTCAAAAAGAGTCAAAGGCAGCCAACATGCGGTGCATGTCATGTGGAAAATATAACATTGGTTTTCCTGATCCTGTTTCACATTTCTGTCACATTGGTTTTCTTGCTCTGGTATAATTAGGGCAGAAATTAACATTTTTTGTCAACCAATTATGATGAAGATGTAGGTTTAGGCCACACTAAAAATATTATATAAAAAAAGACCACACAGAAATAAAATTAATAAAAAGTCATCGTCCGCATATTTACCTGTCCTGGCGCGAAGAAGCCAAACTTTCCAACTTCAAGTTTGTCCCTAGAAATTAGAAGAAGATGCAAAAAGCCGTTGAAACATTAAGATCAAATGCTTTCTAAGCTACCCGCCAACGTCCCATCTCACCTGAGCCTTCGGTTCTTGAAAATTTACTGCAATTCCGGCGATTTACAACGTGCCCGTCGCTTGTTCGACCAAATTCCCCATCCAGACCTCCGTGCATGGACCGTGCTAATTTCAGGCCACACGCGACATGGGTTTCCAAAGGAATCTATAAAGCTTTACACTTCATTGAGAGGTCGGCACATTGTTCCCGATAATCTTCTTCTTCTCTCGGTTGCTAAGGCGTGCGCGTCTTTGGGTGATCTCAGAAATGCTAAAGAACTTCATGATGAAGCAATTCGATTTGGGTTTCATTCAGATATCGCTTTGGGTAATGCCATGGTTGATATGTTTGGAAAATGTAAATACGTTGATGGGGCAAGGCAGGTTTTTGATGACATGCCGGCCAAAGATGTGGTTTCATGGACGTCTTTGTGTTCTTGTTATGTAAACTGTGGGCTGCCAAGAGAAGGTTTGGTGGCTTTTCGGGAGATGGGTTTGAATGGAGTGAGACCCAATGCGGTGACTGTGTCTTCAATCCTGCCTGCTTGCTCAGAATTGAAAGATTTGAATTTGGGCAGAGAGATTCATGGGTTTGTGGTCAAACATGCAATGGAAGAGAATGTATTTGTTAGCAGCGCACTTGTCAACATCTATGCTAGTTGTCTGAGCATTAAACAAGCTCAAATGGTGTTTGATATGATGCCTCAACGAGATGTTGTGTCCTGGAATGTACTTCTAACAGCGTATTTCTCGAATAGAGATTGCGAAAAGGGTATAGCTCTGTTTTGTAGGATGAGAAGGGAAGGTGTTAAATTGGATGGTGCTTCTTGGAATGCTGTTATTGGTGGGTGCCTGAATAATGGGCAAACTGAACAGGCACTGAAAATGCTTGAACAAATGCAAGAATCAGGATTTAAGCCCAATCAGATAACAATTACTAGCTTGTTACCAGCTTGCAAAGATTTGGAGAGCCTGAGAGCAGGCAAAGAGGTTCATAGTTATATCTTTAGAAATTGTTTGATGGAAGACTTGGCAACCACAACAGCTCTAGTTTTCATGTATGCAAAATGTGGTGAGTTGGAACTTTCGAGGAGGGTCTTTGATATGATGCCAAGAAGGGATACAGTTGCTTGGAATACAATGATCATTGCAAACTCGATGCATGGGAATGGAGAAGAAGCCTTGCTGCTGTTCAGAAAAATGTTAGACTCCGGGGTGAAGCCAAACTCTGTTACTTTTACTGGTGTTTTGTGTGGTTGTAGCCATTCGCGGCTGGTTGAAGAAGGCATCATGGTTTTTGATTCAATGAGGAGGGATCACTCAGTAGAACCCGATGCAGATCATTATTCCTGCATGGTTGATGTACTTAGCCGTGCCGGTCACCTAGAAGAGGCATATCAGTTCATACAGAGAATGCCAATGGAACCTACACCTGGTGCTTGGGGAGCATTGCTTGGTGCCTGTAGAGTGCATAAAAATGTGGACTTCGCGAAAATTGCAGCAAACAGGCTGTTTGAGATTGAACCCGATAACCCTGGTAACTATGTATTATTGTCCAACATTTTAGTTACTGCCAAAAGATGGGAAGAAGCTTCAGAAACTAGGAAGTTGATGAGAGACAGAGGAGTGACAAAAACACCAGGTTGTTCTTGGGTTCAGCTGAGAAATAGAGTCTACTCTTTTGTTGCTGGTGACAGGAGCAATGAACGTAGCGAGGAGATATACAAGTTTTTGGTTGAGATGGGTGAGAAGATGAGATTGGCAGGGTATGTGCCCAACACAGATTTTGTTCTGCAAGATGTGGATCAAGAGGAGAAAGTGGGGATCCTTTGCAACCACAGTGAGAAGCTTGCTGTTGCTTTTGGGATACTCAATTTGAATGGTGAATCGACAATTCGGGTATTTAAGAACTTGAGGATATGTGGTGACTGCCATAATGCCATCAAGTTCATGGCCAAGATTGTTGGTGTGCAGATTATAGTCCGAGATTCGTTGAGGTTTCACCATTTCAAAGATGGAGATTGTTCTTGCAGAGATTTTTGGTGATTTTCAGTATCCAGGTTACTGTGTTGAATGATGTAAATCAATTGGAGCAATGCCATCCAAAGTTCTAAACGCCAAAGGGCCTGGATGGATGCGTGGACTGATTTATAAGTAAGACTGAAAATTTTCAGCACCACTAGAAACTAACATAAGGTTAGTGAATTAAGATTAATCATTACCTGTGTTGGCGAGTCAAGATTATTCATAACTTGATACGGATCTGCAAATGACATGTTCTTCTGACACAAATGTAATGATGTCGGATTAGTGTATGCACGAATTATCCAATTCCGGCAAGATAGTCATGCTTTTGTAGGTAGAAGAAAATGATCCTTGTTTTTGGGAATGTCTCCATTTCTTGATATAATCCACTTTGTGAGAAGAGGTATCAAGTTCGAAACTCACGTTATTGTTTATCAACAAAACAAGTGAGTCGACTCAAACACAATACAATAAACATGACATGACTTAATTGTCACACTTGTCCTATAGAAGAATATCATCCCAAACAATCAAAAAGAAACTTTTTTATTTTTATTTGACCAATTTCATGGTGGAACTCAAAAAATATGACCGCTGCTTGCCCAAAAAAAAGATAAGAGCCCGTTCGTCCGATAAAATTTGAATCAGCCAAGCCAAGCCCATCCAAAAACAAGAGAGCGTATCTCAGAAGCTGGTCCAAAGCGTGTGGTGTGGATATAAGTAACCGTATTGGATAACAAAATATGGTAGTGGACGGGACTGGACAGTGGGACTGGTGGTGACAGTGGAAATGGAGAGAGAAGCCAAATTCAGTTGTAAAATATTTAGCAAAGAGTGTAAACTTTACTAAATTTTGCTTTTTCGTTTGGTCTGATTTTACCAATTACCAGATTATAAAAGGAAAAAGAGGAACTCTTTCTTTAGGGGTGAGAAAGCAAATGGACCAACCAATCATTCTTGAAAAAACCCAACAGGTGATATCCAGTGTATGTTGATTCTTTTCTGTCCCTCTTTTCCTTATCTATCAGTTTCTTGATTACTTCATGTTAAGAATATATCTATGATTCAATTCTTTGGTTCCATCTTCTTCAGTCTGCCTTATCCTTGTTTCTGCTGAAAAATACTGTTTATCCATTTGGTTATGTTTGTGTGATGAAAATTTAGCCAACCCAGATATTTGATTGTTGTTCTCTGTGCAAAGAGAAGTGAATAGAGGCTTGTATTAAGAATTTCATATTTTGTCGAGAGTATATTTGATTAGGCTTCAGTAGCAAAAATACTTTTTAGCTCTGTCCATGGCAGTTCTTGTAAATTCAGTGTCTCCTATTGCACACCCATCACCAGAAAGTACTAGAAACAGTTGTAGGTTCTTTTCCCACATCAGGAATCTCCAACCACTTACGCTCAGCAAGGGATTTTCTAGAGTTTTGGCAACTACCCAGATCACCATTTCTCCAAAGGACACTGTTTTCACCTTACCCAACTGGAGGGCTGCCAAGAATAACAGAAGAAGTAGGGAAGTCAGACTAATTGATGCCTTTCTGCACTTAGAGTCTATGGTAGGGAAGGGCCAAAAGCCTGATGTGGCTCAAGCAACTCAGCTCTTATATGACCTTTGCAAGGCAAATAAGATGAGAAAAGCTGTCAGGGTGATTGAAATGATGGTTTCTGCAGGCATTATACCTGATGCAGCTTCTTATACTTTCTTGGTGAATTATTTGTGTAAAAGAGGTAATATTGGGTATGCAATGCAGTTGGTTGAAAAAATGGAGGAGTATGGCTATCCAACCAATACCATTACCTATAATTCGCTTGTTAGAGGGCTTTGTGTGCGTGGAAACTTGAACCAAAGCTTGCAGCTTTTGGATAGACTGATACAGAAGGGGCTGGTCCCAAATGTTTATACCTACTCCTTCTTGCTTGAAGCTGCTTATAAGGAAAGAGGGGTCAATGAAGCCATGAAGCTCCTGCAAGAGATAATTGCTAAAGGTGGAAAGCCTAATTTGGTCAGTTACAATGTTTTGTTAACTGGGTTGTGCAAGGAAGGTAGGACTGACGAGGCTTTGCGGTTCTTCAGGAATTTGCCTTCGATGGGGTTTGATCCGAATGTTGTGAGTTATAACATTGTACTGAGGAGCTTGTGTTATGAGGGTAGGTGGGAAGAGGCAAATGAGCTTCTGTCTGAGATGGAAGGTGAGGATCGGTCTCCTTCCATAGTTACATATAATATCTTAATTGGTTCACTTGCACTTCATGGTAGAACTGAACATGCTCTTGAAGTTTTGGATGAAATGGTGAGAGGTCGATTCAAGCCTACTGCTGCCAGCTACAATCCCATAATTGCTCATCTCTGCAAAGAGAGGAAGGTGGATAGTGTGATCAAGTGTCTAGACCAAATGATTCATCGGCGATGTAATCCTAATGAGGGAACATTCAATGCCATTGCCGTGCTCTGTGAGGAAGGGATGGTGAAAGAGGCATTCTCTATAATTCAGAGCCTCACTGACAAACAAAAGTGCTCCACCAACGAGTTCTACAAAAACGTAATTACAAGCTTGTGTAGGAAAGGGAACACCTTCCCAGCGTTTCAGATTTTATATGAAATGACCAAGCGTGGTTTCACTCCAGATTCTTATACGTATTCATCCTTGATCAGAGGGTTGTGTTTGGAGGGTATGCTAGATGAGGCCATGGAGATTTTCAAGGTAATGGAAGAAAACAACATTAGGCCTGATACCGACAATTTTAATGCCCTTGTACTCGGCTTCTGCAAATCTCGAAGAACAGATTTGTCTTTGCAGGTTTTCGAGATGATGATCGAGAAAGGGCGTATGCCTAATGAAATGACCTATACTATTCTTGTGGAAGGGATTGCACATGAAGGAGAGCTGGAGCTGGCAGCCAAAGTTTTGAACGAGTTGCACCTGAGACATGTTATGAGTCCGAATACAGTGGAAAGACTTGTTATGCAGTATGACTTTGAGGATTTACCAGGATAGAAATACGGGGGAAAAAACAAAAAGAAATGCTATTAAGGGAGAGCAATAGCAAGCAAGATTAAAGACCAAGTCATTTCTAGGACCAAGAAGTTTTAGCAACTCAGTTCGAGAAGGCTGTTCAATCATTTGTTTTGTAGACGGACGGATCGATGAGGGAAGGGGGGAAAATGGATAGAAAAGGCCCTCCTTTGAATATTGATATATTCAGACTTTAGAACTGGGCAAAGAACAAGTTCAAGACAGAAGCTTTGCTCTATACTATTACTTTATTTGGTGAGAACTTGTATTTCAATTTTGTTCTGTAAATTAAGTCTAACAATTGTTTTCAGATATGTTGGTTCAGCTTCTTCCTTAAACTGATGTAAACGCCGTTCTTTTTTTGTGTTCTTCATTGCTAGTCGCTTATTCAAAATACATGTTAGTATCATTTTTTGGTCTGAAACATGTTAGTGTCATCATATGAATAACAAAACTCAGATTTGGTTTCGAACTTTTCCTCGTTTTGTTGCTAGCTTCAGAAATCTTCACTATTTCCGGAGAGAAATGTGTGTATGGGAAATGTTAAGACTCATCCATGTTTATGAGGGCTGTGCGCACTACCAGGAAACTTGTACTTCGAGATTTTAGCGTGGTTTCAAAGGCCTCATTGAGATGCACATTATGGTTAAGAATAAATTACTTTTCACGGTAAATACTAATACATAAACTGCATTGCTCGGGTCAAAGATTTCTCTGTTCATGCGTGCCCTATACATAATTTAGATGATAAAATCGTGTCCCATTTTCGCTCAAGCTACCAAATATTCATGACGGAGTTGCCCAAAAATTGAGTTGAATTCAGGCTAGTTGGATATACGACCAACCCTAATACTACACCTGATACTGACCATTTGAACACAAACAAACTGGGTTGGCAAATCTAGAATTTCATAAAAATACTTGGAGGCTTTGTGATGATAATAATGTATGCCTCATGAACCAAACTATTTCTGCTGCGAAAGGTGACTAGTGATAAGAGGAAAGCGGTTTTGAGACGAAAAAACTATGGAAAGACCTTCTATGCAGCATCACCAGAGTTTATATTCGATGCATGGAAAACATAAATGCCTTGCATAGGGTGATGAAAACAGGACCAGTGACAGGTTCTGCGTTTGGCCAATGAATTAAAGCTTCCCAGGGATCTTAGTGATGGGGTCTAAACTCTGAAGAACTCGTATAATTGGTTCAAAAGTCTTAACATCTAAAGCCTAACATAAGATTGGGTTGATTCTAATGATGGGCACAGAAAAATGCTGGGCCACAAGCAGAGCAGACCAAGGCTACAAAAGATCTAAACTTTGACATCTAATATGATCCCAGATGCATACATTATCAAAAATTATCAATTGAAAAGCCCATTGCATCATAAAACACAATAAATAAACTTTCATAAACAGCATCCATACTTAATTATGCAATTAAATGCAGAGTAAAACTTGATAAAACATTTAACATCCACATAATTAAAATCCCAAAACTATGAAAACTTAAACACAGATACTCAAGTCATCCTCCACTCTACAAAACTTCACATGGGTAGAAGGTGTTGCAGATGAAGGAGCAACAAGGTGCCTACTTTGATCTCTGTCTCATCTTTCGGCGCTTCCTCTTCAACCTCCTCATACGCTTCTTCTTCCACTGAAAGAATGCCACCAACAATAACAACAACACAATTCAATCAAAACATCCCATAACAGAACATTCATCAACAGATTTGAAACAATTTTTCCATTGAAAGCCAAAGACAAAGAGAACCATCACATTCAAAGTTCAAAAACAGAGATAAGAAATGGGAATTGAAAATGAAAAAACTTACCTTGGCCCTCATCCTGGCTGAGAAACGCTGCTACTGTGTCTCCAAAACGATGACCGCGACGGCTCCAGAAGCAACCACAGGGTTTTTAATGAGTCTGAACCCTAATCGCTGTGCGGCGACTTGTATATATTCATATGGGCCTGGGCGCCCAGAAAGCCCACACACCCATTAATTGTTGGAGGCCCAAATTGAAGAAAGCCCAAAAACCAAACATCAATTATCCCAACCCTCCATCCTCTGTTTGGTAGGCGAGAAAACTTGATGGAAAGTGAGGGAGAAAATCAGTCAATCAAACTCACTGAAGCTGATCAAATGGAAAGCAAGGAAACCCAGTTCAAGTCATCTTCAGAGGAGAAGAGTGTGAGTGTGCACGAGACAGAGAATCAGAGTGAGAACGAAAGCCAGAGATTGCAATCGGAGGCTCTGGCAAAAGCACTATCTTCGACGCTCACGACCGTCATTAAAGAGTTCGATTCAAAAGCTCAGCAAACCTCCACAAGCCAAGACCACCTCTCTCAATCGCTCGATCGCCTTACCCGCGGTAACCAAACTGATTTTTTTTTATTTTTGGTAATTTAATTTTATATTTTTTGTTATTTTTGCATTAAATTTAAAAAGGAAAAATATTGTGGGCAGAACTTGATAAGTTGCTAGAAGATGCGCCGCTGCCGTTCATAATGCAGCACTCGGCCAAGATTTCTGTCGTTAGGAAGAGAGTTTCGTCGTTGAATTCGGTTTTGAAGTCCGTACAGCGCCGTCTTGATAATATAGACCGCATGCTGTCTGTCGGCGCCTCACACCAACATCAACAGCAACAACAACAACAACATGGTATTTGTAAGACTAATATTTTGGTTATGGTTTGACAATGTTGTTTTTTACGAGTTTCTTCAAGTCATCACTTAGTTTTGCAGCACTCAACATGTGAATTTTAGGCACACAAGTGGCAAGTCTTGTTGTTCTCTTTCCTTGTAGTGGGAACCTAAGAGTTTCAACTTATCTAGGAGGCCATGCTTTATGGTACAAAATTTTGGTTTTGGTTTTGGTTTAGCACATTTTGTCTGTGTGTCTACTTGAAATGAGCAAGATGAGATAATTGAGTGGTAATGGAAGTAGAAAGAGCAACTTCTGCGATCTAGCTAACGGTAACAAATGATCTCACTAGATAGTTAGATTAAGAAATTATTTAGGCAAGTTGATTCGTTTGATTTCAGGTTCATATTTCTACTAGTACAACTTCCAACTTCGGAACCTGGTTTTGATATAGGTCGTTCAAATTACTTATAAAAAGGAACAAAAGGTCTCACCAATCTGTGCTTCTCTCAATTTGTACTTGATTAAATAAATTAGTGATTGGAAGTAGTGTGCTACTTTCTGGTTGCTATTTATAGTTAAGAGCCATGTCAGTGTATGTTAGAAGAACAAAGTTACATTCTTGATTTCTCACTTTAATAGCTTAATCTGTATACTTAGTTTGCGTCTGATGGCAAAGTTCCTAATAAAGTTCCCACTGGGAGGAGTTTGCGGATTCAATATTCTTTAAGAAATTAATGTTTTGGCTTGACATTACCAAAAATCGTTGTTAAACTAAGTACATAACTCTTTTGTGTGCGTTTTTATCTGTGTTGTTTGTATAGAAAACTTTGCATGAAACTATTCGTAGGAAGATCTAATGGGATATATGACATTTGAACCATGGGTGGAGAAATACCTTTCAAATAGTAAATATTAGGCTTATGCTTCAAAATCTGTAACCTTGCTCTACTTATGATTTCTTTTTCTTTTCTATTTTTTTTCTTGGTCGAAGCTCTACTTATGATCGTGACTGACTGGAAAGGTTATATCTGATGTGCAGATAAGGCAACCACAGAACATTCAGGGCTACAGTAATATAGTTTTGTCTTGAAGGTACTACACATTTCTTCAATAAACTATAAACGTAGAATTCTGAACACAAATTCATATTGTATGCCAAGAATCATCAATGAGTTCTAGGTAAACACTGGAATAGGTGAACGGTGACAATTATATTATGTTGACTGCCAGACAGCTCAAACTATACCTCTTGAAAGAACTGATGTAATTTAGTAAAAGATTAGTTTATGTTATTGTTTTTTAGGCCTGTAGACTGACTTGTAAAGGAAGTAATGTACTTGTATCTTAGTCCATATCTCAGTTTATGAAGTACTAACTGTTTTTTATGGTTTTCATCTTAATTCTAGTTATCTCCAGAAAGGATCAAGCATAGTATTGGGACTGCACGGGGCAACCTTAGAGTTTTACCTCCGTCAACTACTTGAATAAGAATTTTTCGATCTTGGGACGAAGCTAGATGAGCTGTCTCAAACCCCACATGGATGCCCTATCAATTGGAACATACACATGACCTTGAGTTCAGAGTTTCGGCAGTGACGAAGGTGATTATTAGGTTAGGATGGTGGGCTGTGGCTTGAACATTGATTGGGTATATATCTAGGTTTCAATAGGTTGAATGGTGGTAGTTTGTATAGGTAGCAATGGAAGCTCGCTACGTTGGCATCGTCCCTCTTATCAATTTTGATTTGATTCAGATATGAGATTTGTTTTCTTCATCCTAGGTTTAAAAGATAAAAGCATTCCCACATAAGAATTCTCTGTATGTTTTAACCAAAATTCACGTATTACTGTATCCTCACAATGATAAGTGGATTCACTCATTTGTGCGCAAATTTTATAAAATAAAAACTATTTCTAATAAGGTCACATTTTTGTTCATGATAATGTATAGGGTTAATTACTCAAATGGTCCCCAAACTTGTACGTGATTTACATTTTGGGGCCTCAATTAAATTATTCGTTCAAATGGTCCATCAACTCTATATTATTCACTTCAATGGTCCTACCGTTACATTCTGTCAATATTTCTGTTAAATATGAGGGTAATTTGGTCATTATTTACCCTAAAATTTGGTTAAATCTAACATAAAATTAGACGGTAGGACCAATGGAGCGATTAATATAGAGTTGATGGACCATTTGAACGAATAATTTAATTGAGGCCCCAAAATATAAATCGCATACAAGTTTGGGGACCATTTGAGTAATTTACCCTAATGTATATGATTTGAGCAACGAGACCTGCTTGAGTAACTTTTCATCCACTTATATTTTTCCCTTTCCGCCTATAAAATAGTTGAACAATTGAACCAACATTATCAAAATAAAAAAAATAAAAACAGTACACACCTAAAACTAAGGGTGGTGTCGCGAGTCCAGTTTTCCTGTTTCCTTTTTGCCTGTGCCCACCTGTTTTCCCTTTATTCTTCTGACATGTGTCCTCTTAACTAACAGAATGTTAACTCTGTTAAGTCTTTCAATTTTTATTAAAATTTTATAAAATAATTCTTTCATCTTCATCTTCCCTTTTATAAAAATAAAAAATAAAAATCGTTCATCTTTGCAACCAGCACACCTCAGCGACAGCCCCCTCTGCTCGTCACTCCCCAAAGCCTCATTTCTCTCTCTTTGAATTTCTGCAACATATCAAGATAGTTTGAAATCAGCCCGACTCTTCTCCCACTTCGAATGCATCATCAACCACTGCCAGCTCTCTCTCGCTTCTCTTGTTTCCATTATTTTCTTTTTGATTATTTTATGTCTTTAAAAATGGGTTCTTTGATCAGTCGATCATCAACGTGACAAAGCCTAAGAATAATCGTGCCTGGAGATCACTACGGAGAAAATGAAATTTCAAGTTTTTTATTCAAAAAATTAAAAAATAGAAAGCAAAAATAAATTGCAATAGTTTATCAGTTCTCACAACATTTTGGGGGTTTTTGTTTTTTAGAGTGTGAAGAGAGTATTATGCTTCTTGTTCCAGATATATTTCCTCTCAAAATCTTCATATTCAGAACACCTCCATGGCTCATCTTCTGAGAGAGAGAGAGAGGAGGAGGAGGAGGAGGAGGCTGGGTGGTGGTGATTGTGGGGGTAGTGTCGGTTGTTAGAGTTTTACTTGGGTTGCTGCTAGGTTTTTGGATTTTTATTTTTCATTTTATTCAAAGTTAACAACGTTATGTTTGATGTTAAGAGATGGTAGGTGTCAGAAGAATAGGGGGTAAACAGGGTGGGCACAGGGAAAAAGGAAAAAGGAAAATTGGACTCCGACTTTTGCATAACTATAGATAGCAAGTTAAACATAAGTTTCAGTACGTAGTGTGCATGGGCTTGGATGAGACTCCAACTTCCAACACAGAGAGTCTCGTTTGCTTGTGAAAACATTTGTACGAGTGATTTGGGCCGGCCGCCTCACTCAAGACTTTCTCATAAAACAACGGTTGCAGGAAATTTAGTATAATTGCTTATTGCGTAAGCCCATAGTAGAAACTTGTTTGGGCCTTAAGAGATGGTCCACTAGTTAAAAGAAGAAAAGAACCGAAACCCTAATCTGAGCCTATAAAAGATGGTCTCTTTCTTCATCTTCTCCGTGTGCTTCTGTATGTGTGTAGTTAAATTGAATGATAATAGTATTTAGGGTTTAGGGTAACGATGTGATGTGAGGAAAGTGATGAGAAGTTTTGTCGCCCCAGTCTTACAAGCATCATCCAATTTTTGATGCTTGGTGGTGATTGACTCTCTTTCTGATTCCTCTGTTCTCTCTCTCTCTCAATTTCTCTTTCAATTTTTTTTTGGTGAAATTTTGAATGCAAATTGTTGAATCTTGGAAAGGAGCAAGAGGGGAGGTGTGATGATGATTATCCATTGAATCATCCTGAAAATCAAATTCTGATTTTGATGACCTATTCTAATCAAATTACATGCACTACCATCTGATCTCTCTCTTGCAGCCCTGCTGTTTTTAAAAACAAAAAATCAAATTGTTTTTTGTGTTGTATTTTGGCCCATAGGTATCTGATGTCCAGATTTAACTTGAATCAATTGGTTTAGTTTTTGTGGCTGGGCATTTCGTAAAAACTTGGGCCAAATTGATTTCAAAAACAGGTCTTTGCGATACAGCTTGCTTCTTTCAACCATAAGCATTCTGTTACTTAATCCCTGCTTACATTTTCTTGGCTTTCTTTCTTTTTATAATTTGAAGAACATATGGACACTCATATTTTATCATCTGAAATACGATAAATTTGACAACATAAACCCAAAGGGCAAGACAAGATGAATTCAGAAACGGGTGATAGTTTTTCTCTAAATTACTGCAAAGCTGCCAACCAAAAACAAACTTCACAAGTTTATGAAGAAAAGAAGGAAACGGCGGACTTTCCCTGACCAAAGACGTAACATCTGTTTAAATGTGTCTGTTTGGGTTTTGGATTGTGCTCGGTCAGGCTTGTTTATCATATCTGTTTAAATATATCTTGGTTTGATTTATAAAAGTCAAGCATTTCAAAGCAAAGAAAAATAACAAACAGAGGATCTGGAGTTCTGCAAATCTCAAAACAGAGGATCACTTTAATTCTCGGTTATAAAATAGAAGATGTAAGTGATAATTGAGTACTCTTTGCCAAAGCTCTAGGATTGTCGACATTTAGTTTTGACAAAAGAGCAGTTGAGGAATATATCATGGCATGTCTTTTCCTGCAAACAGAAGATCATCGCAACAATCACTTGTTACCATTCCACCTTCAAAAATAGTTCCGCCTACTTGCCAAGCGCAATTAATGGAGATATGTTTGCATTCAACCAAGGTCTCTGAATTTAATGCCTTTGAGGTTGGAATTGCGATAGAAGGTGCGGGAGAAACTATAATTTCAACACATTGGTCCCAAACTTGTGTACTCTCTGCTAAACTAGATTTGTCGACAATGGGTTTGGAGGCAAGAACAAAGTTAAAGAACAGATCATGACAAGTTTTGCCGACAGACACAAGTTCATAACAACAACGATCTGTTACAATCCCACCTTCGAAAATGCTTCCACCAACTTCTCGAGCACAATTAATGGATATATGTTTTTTACATTCATCCAAGGTTTTCGAATTGGATTCCTCTAAAGTTGGAATTGCGAAACTTGTGAAAATCATTCTTGATGGGCTCGCCAAAAGCAAAATGGCCAACATCGGGAACATATTTAGTGCGGCCAAAGTGCTTTTTGCTACGAGTTAGTTTTTGTTTTCTTGGGAAAAGGCAAAGAATTCTTTGATGGAGTTGAGTTTAAGAGTTTTTTTTATTTATAAGGGTTTGCAATGATCCAAGTTATTTGGAATTTGAAAACGCCCTAGTACCTCATAAATACATTTTTTAAAAATTAATTCCTCTTGATTTTAAAGATGAGAGTTTCTTCAACTTATTTAAGTTACCATATATTTTCAAACAATAACCGCTTGTAATTGAACTTACTAATTGTGTGACATTACTAGTGTCCAATGTTTTATACGCTTGGTTAAAAACTTTGTTGGGAGTATAGAGAAAAAATTGGAAGTGAGAATGAGAGTGGAGATGGGATTGAGAGGAAAGATAAGAGGGGATGATGGGAGGGAAGAGTAACAAAAGTGAAAACCAAAACTAAAAACTTAAATTTATTTGAAATTGTTTTCACTTGTGTTACTCCTTTTCATCTTCCCCTCTCATCCTTACTCTCAATCTCATCATCCTTATTCTCACTCTCATTTTTCTCTATACTCTAGCAAAAAAAATGAAAATTAAAAACTAAAATTGAAATGATTATCAAACGGGCTCTAAATTATTGATTTCAAGTGGAAAAGGGCCTTGATCGCTTGTATTTAAAATAATCATCATCATCATCATTTAGGCCATGCCTTCAAAGTGCCTCTTGGGCCACAAGTAACTATATGAACACCTCTACACAATGAGGTATCATGAGCCAGTTTCTTAAGTGGTTTTGAAAAATGAAGTTTGGGTGGGATGTGGGTTCTCAGTCCAGCCCTAAGCCATCTCTAGAAGAAACATTTGTGTGAAACGGGAATAGCACTATTTTGTTATCCCTGGTCAATCACGGCATGCCACGTATGATAAATTTTCCACATAGCAATATGTGATTGATTGGGAATAGCAAAACAGTGATATCCTCATTTCATACCATTTTTTCTGCATCCAAGAGGTCTGGCCAATTCATTCCCAGGCTTCAAACCTTACCTTTACAAGTCTATAATGATATCAACGGAGAAAAGGTAATGAAATTAAATACAATAAGGAAAATATCACAATCTAATTTATCTTTATTGGAACAAGAAGGGGCCAAAGAAATGTGTTCAATACGGCCTTAGCATATCTTACCATATTTTCCAAGACAGTAGACCTTGATATTCATCTGTCTGACATTATTATACAATGGTAAAAACGTTTTTTCACCCCTCTATCTCTTTGATATCAAAATATTTATATTTGTCTAGAGCAGCAGTAATTGGATGATAAAAAAGTAAAAGCAGAACAGGGAAGGGAAGGGCAAGAACAAGACAAGGGAATTGCCTAATATGGCAAAGAATATAACTTGGTGTACAATTTGAAGAGGGGAAAAAATAATAATTTTGCAGGGTGAAGAGAAAAAGCTTCTGGTTTTTGTGTAAATGAATGGTGGTAAAAATCACGTGATAAATCAGGGGAAAATGACAGCATCAACAGTGGAGGTATTGTTACTT